TTCCTGCTTTCCCTTTCGCCTCCCTGCATTGTGCCTACATATGCAAATTAACCACCATCTTTGTTGGCAGTTACCTGCCATCTTAGTTGGCAGTTAATTTGCATATCACCCTGATTAGCCAATGAAAAGGGTAGCAGTCGTACGCCAATTACCATATTTCTCTTTTATTAGTGTAGATACTTGGGTCTATGCCCATGTTGACTTGATTGTTGTAGAGGGAGAGGTACGGGTCAGTTTTAGTCTTTATACAGGGACAGCCAATTGTTCCAAACCATCTGTTGAAAAGATTATCCTCTCGTAACTGAGTTGCCTTTGTGCTTTTGTTGAAAATCAGGTGTCCAAATGTTATTGTGGCCCATTGATTTACTAAGCTATCTTAATGCCATTAGCACACAATCTTTATCACTGTAGCTTCACAGTACACTTTTAAAACAGGTAGTTTAACCCCCAGATGCACCCTGACCGGGAATCGAACTGTGACCTCCTGGTTCAAAGGTTGATACTCAACCACTGAGCCATGTCGTCTGGGCTAAGTGTTTTAATTGCTTTGGCTGTGACATAGCTTAGTCAAAACTTAAGAAAATATGTTAGTCACTTACGGTCAAAGTTTATAAACAATGTGAGTCATGTTTGCAGACCTGCCTATAAAGCCAGTCCCAGGAGAAATGTTTAAAGCTAACTTTGCTGAGAGTTCAGAACAATGCAGCCAGCTAAGCATAAAACAATGACGGCTCACACAGTGGCAATGATAACACAACTTCAATGTCTGCCTTTTGCTTCAAAGATGCACAATTATGAGATATTTTGCAGAATCTTGGTTCTTCAACCTGGTCGGGTCACTGACCAGTGATGAAGGCACCAGACAAGGCAACATCAGAAACTGAATGAATGAGACGAAGGAAAACGCTGAGGCTTGCACAGCTCACCATTCAGCGTCACCGCCCCCCTGTCAGACACCCTTGATGAAAACCACCAAGGGCTGGGCTTACCTGGGGGCTTTGGAGGCTGGGTGTGCAGGTTCCACGGCCCCGGGTGGTGGCCTGGACGTCCCGTCGCTGGCCTGGCCTGGGCGGACCAACCTGCAGTGCGGAGCTTCCAGAGGGCACACCCGTTCGCGGGACGAGCCAATGCTCCCAGTGTGGGGGCAGACTGGCTGCGCGGGGGCTGCTGGGCACGCTCTACATGGGGTGGGGGTGACGGTCCCTCTGCCCACGCAGCTTTTACCATCAGCTCCTGTATTATCCCCCCATTTACCATTAGCTACTATCTTACCTGTATGTTACTTGCTTAAAAGGAATGAATTAAATAAAGGTAAACTGGGAGAAACCCAGTAACATGAGTCACAGATGACGGGAGAACAAACCAGAGTGGAAACCCAGGCCTGCGTCCCGGCCGCTGCACTGTGCGCCTCTGCTTATCACGGCAGAGCAGGCCCAGGCGCGGACGGGCAGGTCCACTGGTGAGAGGTGGGTGGGCAGCCCGCGGCGCCTGTGGGCCTGGGGAGCTGCGGGAGGCAGGAGGCTGCCCACTCACCTTTCACTGGCGGCTGGACAGGAGTGCGGCCCAGGGCTGGCATTTTGTGAGGAACGTCAATGACGTCTGGGGACACCTGCCACGGCTGCAACATTGTTCACAGCACCTGGGGCTCCAGTGGCGACACCCCAGGTGCTGATACCCTGACCCTCCATTCCTTCCCAAGCAAGCCCTCAGTTGCTACCCGGAAATCAGGGAAAACAAGGATGCAGTTCCCACCCCAGCACGGAGCCCGCGTCCTGCCCAGGCCCTGGCCTGGCCCCAGCATGAGTGGTCCGGCCAGGCTGGGTTCCACCCGACCCTGTGGGATGACACGCAGGCTGCCCCTGTTCTTAGCGTGCCCAGGGCCACGAGGGACCGCAGACCTGCACTGTGGACTCAGGATGAGAGCGTTTCAGGCCGCTGGGATGCCCGTGCCAGTGTGTGTGTGCGTGTGTGGGAGGGCACACACCAAGTGTCCGGAGCAGGAGAGCCAAGGCTGGCGGAATGGATGGAGCGAAGTGTGCAGAGGCTGGAGTCCTGCAGGCCCGCGCCATCACCTGAGGTAGGCCCCGCTGCTCAGCCTCCAGGGACCCGGAAAGAACGGGCGTGCCCTGGGCGCGAGGGGGAGACACCTGGAAACGGCCAGGCCCCCTGACACCCAGGACTTCGGCTGCTTCTCCAAGGCGTGTGGCCGTGTCGCCCTTCTGACCTCTCCGGCTGCCGCTGGGGGTGACCAGGGCACTGCAGCGCCCCGGACACTGCAAAGCTCATCACCACCCAGAACCCTCGGCCAAGGGCACCCAGACTGCCCTGCGGTCCCCGGGCTTTCCAGCACCCCACCCCCACCCCCACCCCGCTGCCGTCTCAGGCCGTCTGCTCCTCTGGGAGCCACTGAAAAGGAGAGTTTGAAAAACCAAAGTCCTTTTTCCCCCAAAATATTCTTTATTCTTGCATTACATTTGTGTTTCCAATTGTGAATAAAAAAAATGCTTAGAAAGTGATTACAAAACAGTGTGAGCGGACACGAGGCGCACTCGCCTTCTCTGCATGAGACGACCTGGGCCTGGCGTCGGGGTCGGGTCAGCCTGCCTGGGCTCAGCTGGGCTTCTCACTCTCAGAATCTAGAAAACAAAACCACCAAAGCTCATTACAGGCCCGACTGGCCGCCCGGGCCTGGGGAGTGGGGCTCCGTTCCTGGGAGGCCTGCCTGCAGCCTGCCCTATGCCCGCCAGCTGCCCACACACTAAGCAGCTGCCTGAACCAGCCAGGACCCCCAGCGCCCCACCCCTGGGCTGGCAGGGAGAGAGCTGCCTCCGGCTCCTACGGCACAGCAACCACAAGCTGCCTGGCCTCGGCCCAAGGCCAGCAGTGAGCTGAGGCACCCAAGGCAGCTGGGGGTCCCCACTCCGGAGCAGAGGCCCCAGACCTGACTGCATGGCAGCGGGAGTGGGAGTGAGGCCTGCAGATGGGGCAGCTGCCTCGCCGGTGGACAGAAGGCACTGTGACCCCAGCTGATGCGTGCAGGGCCCAGGCCACGAAGCAAGAGACCAGAAACACATGCTGAGTCCCACAGGGTGGGGGAGGGGGGAGCGAAAGGGTGTCGGTCAGGAGGAGGACCCTTCCCAAACCCAGCTGGCACTGTGGCCCTGTGCCTATCGTACAACAGAGGCACTTCCATGACCGTGGGTGGCCCAGCCCCAACCCTCCTCTAACAAGGCTGGAATCTGGCCCTCCCCCTGCAGGGCCAGCAAACCCAGCTTTCCTGGAAACAGCCCCTGTGGACAGGGGTGGGGACCCCGTGTGGTTGACCATGAGGCTCACGTAGTCCGTGGACAGAGCCCCCGGATCGGCATGCAGCTCAGGCTCAGAGTGGTGGAGAGTGAGGAGGCCGCCATCCTCGGGGCCCAGGCGCACCCGCGGGCAGAGCAGAGGCCCGAGTCCATAGGACCCCACTCGCGTCTCCCGAGACTGACTCCACGGGCGACGGCTCCCCTGCCGCCCGCCCACCCGGCTGCCGCCTCCTGTCCTCCCTGTGAGGCTCGCTGGTTCAGCTTTTATGTGGACACAGAGTAAGAAAAATGTTGTTTCACATTATTTTCCAACAAAAATGTTTATTTTTCTCCTTCATATACAGTCTCCTGGGGATTCTGTGCCACTGGCCCTGCGTGTACAAGGCCGAGCGCCAACACTCCCGAGGGTGCAGTGGGCTGCAGGGTGCGGGGTGGGGCTTCCGGACACAAAACTCAACAAGAGACCGAGGGGCACCTCGCGGAGAAAGAAGCCGCGCGTGCAGCCGGCAGAAGACGCTGCACAACCTCCCCACAAGTCAATCCTCACTGAACTGACGGAGTAAGACATAGACACCAAAGCAAGTGAGCCGTGCTAGCGAGGTCCCAGGACACGGTGTCTGCAGTCACAGCTGCGCAGCCCCCAGGGCCTCCCGAGCAGTGGACAGTGAGGGACAGGGCCTCCAGCTCCCGCCAGGCTCCTGCCGCTCTGGGCCAGTCCCACTGCCCCTTGCTGGGCAGCCATGGAATCTGGAGAGCAGCCTGGGGCTCCAGGGGTGCGGGAGGGGATATGCAGGGGTAGAGCAGGCCACAGAGGGGGGCAGGCAGCCCCAGGCCTGGGGAAAAGGAGGCCAGCAGGAGGAGGGGTGCCGAGCCAAGGGGGTGCTGTGTCTGCAGGAAGGAGGCAGCTCCCAGGAGCAGACACCCTCACCTCCCAGCTCACAGCAGTCCTGCCTGGCTGTGGGTCCGAGGGCTTGTCTGCTCACCTAGCACTTTCCAGCAGCTTCTACACAGCCAAACACAGCTGCTAACATTCCTCACTGAGACAAACGCACGGCCGGGACCACACACACTGGCGCCGGGCAGTGCCCGCCTGCAGCTGTGGGTGTGCTCATGTTTGCGCCCAGGGACGTGGAGCCCAAGAGGCCTCCTACACGCAGGAAGCAGGGCTCCCCACCATCTGCAATTCTTCATAGTCAAGGTCACTAGTTCAATTTAAAAAAATGACCACTTACAGCACCTAAAGGTCAGACTGCAGCTTCCGATTTGTAAACCACTGATCTCTCTCTAAACTTACAATGGGAAATAAGGTATCAACACACAAGCCCGTTGTCAATGAAATACTCCTTTTCCAATACATGATTTTACACATCTCTTTCCATCGGTGAACAGGAAAGCTGGAGTCCCAGGCACTGTAATCCTGCAGGGCGATTACAACGTGCTAAGCTTCGATTCAAGTACAGAAAGTGGATGCAAGATGGTGAGTGTGGCCTATGGGAACCTTGGGGGTAAGTGGGGTCAGCAGCAGGCCCTTCCCTGGGCACTTCGGGCAGGTGGGGCAGGACCAGCAGGCCAAACCACAGCCCGACTCCTATGGGCATTCAGTTCAACACGTTCCATCTGGCAAGTGGCTAGACAGAGCTACAGGATCCATGGCCTGGGGCCTGGCATGCTAACCACAGGTGGCCACAGGAACTCAGGAAGCATGGGCGCCCCGGCTGTGCCCACACCCGGCCCCCAGGTAGAGCTCCGGCTGCCAGCCTGGGTGGCCCAGGGACCCCAGGACACAGGAGCTGGAAGCGGGCTTCTGTACTGGCCCAGAGGCCATGCACAGGGTGGGGCGGAGAGGCCAGAGAGGGCAGTACCTGGCATGGGCACGGGCAGGGCCAGGGCAGTTCCAGGAATGACCGTGGTGGGTAGAGGGCCGGACGCCAGGGCCAAACATGGTGTCCCCACTGCTGCTCGAGGTGTGTTCATCTACAAGACAAGAAGGAAGGCACATGTGGCTGGATCAGCTGGCCTCCAGCGGCCCGGGTCCTGCAGTGTCCCCATCCTCAGGGGACAGTGTCCCAAGACCTGCCATGGGCGCCTCCTGACAGCAGACACCAGAGTGACAGTGAAGGGCAGGAGGCAGAGGCCTGCCTTTCCGCACTCTCCAATCTGCAGTCCGGGCACCTCTGGGCCAGACCCCCACCATCCACAGGCCAGAGCCACTGCGGAGGCCGGACCTCTGAGGGCATCGCGAGAGACCACGCACCCCAACCCAAGGCCTCCTAACTGACCGGTCAGCGCCTTACAGGGTGACAGAGCCCAGGAGCTGTGAGGGGCAGTGCCCAGAGCCTGCGAGCCAATGGCAGGGCAGCCCCCTGCTCCCCACACCCCAGAGCAGAAGTGCGGGGGCGGCGGGCAATGAACAGAGAGGTCTGGAGGCCGGCAGGCTCTGATGCGGAAACCTCAGGAGCTACAGCAAGAACAGAGGCCAACAAACTTCAAATCCCCTAACACAGAGTTAGCAGATCGAATCCAGCAACTAAAAAAGATAAAACCTCACCCACTACTGGGCTCTCGCTCTCCCAATGCTCTTCCCCCAGACGTCTGCTCCAGCCCATAGGCGTGGGAAGGCCCAGCCGAGGCAAGGGAAGGAGTGGAGGCACAGACCGGAGAAAAAGTAGAACCAGCTTTATTCACAGATGACAAGATTGTGTATGGAGAAAACCCCGAAGAGTGAACAATTTCTAGAACTAACAAGTAAATTTAGCAAGACTGCAGGTTATAAGATACAGAACTCAACTGCATTTCTCTGCTAACATACACCCGCAGAATAAAATTTTAAAACAATTTACTACTGGCATTCCAAACCATCTACTCCCTAGGGATGCATTTACTGAAATATGTATAACAACTTTACACTGAACCCTACAAAACTTTGCTGAGAGAAAATAAAAAAGACATAAATGAACAGATATGTCAGGTTCATAGGAACACTCAATACTGTTACTATGTCAAATCTCACCCAGTTAAACAAAAAAACCACCCCAATACAATCCCAGTTAAAATCCCAGCAGGCAATTCTGTAGAAATTGATGGGCTGTTTCTAAAACATACATGGAGATATTAAGAACCTAGAAAAATCAAGAACTTCTTGAAGAAGATCAATACTGAAGGTCTTACACAATCCGATAGGAAACTTACTATGAAGCCCAGTGATTCGGAAGGAGTAGCATTGCCACATGGGATAAAAGAATGGCTCCATGGAACAAGACAACGACTTCAGAACATGGACCTGCACAGCGGCTGCTGAACAAGGAACATGCTGTACGCCTGGAGCTGTGCATGGGGGACCTGAGCCCACGTCACATCACACACAGAGCTAATCCGAGGTGCTCACAGGCTGGCTGCAACAGCTGACACAGGAGACTGTCTCCTGGTCTTGGAAGAGATAAGATTCCTCAAATAGGACAAAAATATTACTGAACATAAATAATTTGATAAACAAAATTGAAAGGCCTGCCATTTCACTTTCACCGTAAGATGTAGAGAGCGCCTGGGAAGGCACATGGGCATTTCTTTAATTATTGTCAGCTGCAGCCAGTGGCGTTGGCAAAGCCACGTCCTGGAAACACGCTTTGCCAAAAGCCAGGTGCCAGGGGGTGGGTTTTGTTATTTAAATCCAGCTGAGCACCAGGAATGAATACCCAAGAATGCACATAATTTCCTTTGTCTTGACTTTTAGTAAAACTTCCTGTTTTTTGCTGTATAAAATAAACATGCTGTATTGGCTCAGGGTCCCTGTCCCTGTCTCATCATCAGAGGACAGTGGTCCCACCCGGCCCCAGCTTTTTTCTTCCATCTCTGTGTCTGTCTCTTTCTTTCATTTTCCCAATCCCCAGCCGCCCCTACTCAGGAACCGGGCTGCTCTCTAGCCTTGCTGGACGTGGAGAAGAGAGACATATTTACAATAAGAAAACAGAGACAAGCCACAGACTAGCAGAAAAACCCACATCGGAGTGACTGAGCAGGTCAAGCCTGTGCTGCCCAAGGCCAGCTGCTGTTCCAGCGCAGTGGGGACCCACATGCAGAGGCTGATACAGTCATATATGGATTTCCAGCGGCATGGGGGTTGGCACCCTCAGCCCTGGCACTGTCCAAGGGTGCACTGTACATGGTGAAGGACAGACAAAGAACTCCAATAAGTCAACAATAAAGAGTTATTTCAACTTTTAAGTAGTAAAGTTCCTTGACCAGGAACTTTACACAAGATAGCCAAAAAGAATGCCCAAAGGCAAACAAAAACAATAAAGAACCTACTTCTATGGCTTCAAATTCTTTTTACAGATAAATTTTCAAATATACTATCCCCCACGCATTTTACAAAAGTCACAAGAAAAGACAAGGTAATATTAGGTGAAACAGAAAACGGAAATTATAAAATACGAAGTGGAGGAGAAAGAAGACTGAGAATTTGGACACAGAACTGGAGACTGTAAAAATATCCAGAATAAAGCATCAAGAGACAAAAGATGTAAGGGATCAAGGATAGAGTGTGGCTCAGCTGGTTGGGCATCCTTCCATGCACCAAAAGGTTTCCGGTTCAATTCCCGGTCAGGGTACATGCCCTGTGGTTGTGGGTTCGACTTCCAGTAGGGCCAGTGCACGATGTAGCCAATTGATGTTTTGCTCTCATACCAATGTTTCTCTTTCTCTCTCTCCCTCTCCCTTCCTCTCAAAAAAAAAAAAAATTACAAGTGGACTGGAGTCTTAGGATGAGAGGCGAGTGCAGCAGGAGCAGTATGGGAACAGATAATGGGGGAAATGAAATTTGATCAAGAAATCAAGGCCTTATGTTCATAGCAGCACAATTCACCATAGCTAAGATCTGGAAACAGCCTAAGTGCCCATCAGCAGATGAGTGGATTAAAAACCTGTGGTACATCTACACAATGGAATACTATGCTGCTATAAAAAAGAAGGAATTTTTACCATTTGCAATAGCATGGATGGAACTGGAGAGCATTATGTTAAGCGAAATAAGCCAGTCAGAGAAAGATAAATAATAATAATAATAAAAAAACAATTATAGAGAGAAAAAAAAGAAATCAAGCCCTGGAGCCATGAAGCCCTCTGAAGTCTAAGCAGGATAAAAATTTATATTCTTGGGCACCACATAATAAATCCTCTGAAAATTAAACTATTAGAAACCAGAAGAAAAAACATTTATTATCTCCAAAGGAGCAACATACAGATTGGCAGCTTACTTCCAACATAAACAAGTGTAGCTAAATAACAATGGAATGAAAATGTCAACATGAATCGTATAACTATTGAAAATATCCTCCAAAAATGTTAATGAAATAAAGACACTTTTAGACCAAAACTGAAAAAATAGTCACTGGTACCCATAAAGGATCTTCAGAATGATTCCCGATGGAAGATCAGAAGCAAGAAGGAATGAAATGGCACAACTGGTAAACATGGAAACGGATGAAAACTAACTGTATAAAAACCTGCGTTGTGGGACTGAAAGGCCATACATAATTTAAACAATAAATGCCAGGAGGGAAGTGAATGCAGTTAAAATGTTTTATGGTCTTTGTAGTGTCTAGAAAATGGGTAAGAAAAAGATAGACTTTCATAATTTACATTAAATGTAAATAAACAAAATAATTTAAAGACAGAAAAAATAAACAGACCCAAATTATGTGCTGTTTACAAGAGCTACATCTAAAACAAGGGTATAGGAAGACTGAAAGTAAAAAATGGGAAATCATACACCATGCAAATAATAATCAAACACAACCTAGTACAGTTATAACAATTTCAGACAAAGTATATTTAAAGGCAAAAATAATAACAGAACATAGCTGGCGTGGCTCAGTGGTTGAGCACTGACGCATGAACCAGCAGGTCACAGTTTGATTCCCAGTCAGGTAACATGCCCAGACTGTGGCTCAATCCCCAGTAGGGGGAGTGCTAGAGGCAGCTGATCAATGATTCTCTCTCATCATTGATGTTTCTATCTTTCTCTCCCTCTCCCTTTCTTTCTGAAACAAATACAAATATATTTTATTTTATTCTTTTAAAATATTTTTATTGATTTTAGAGAGGAAGGGAGAGGGAGAGAGAGATAGAAACATCAATGATGAGAAAGAATCACTGACTGGCTGCCTCCTGCACACTCCTTACTGGGGATCAAGCCCACATCCCAGGCATGTACCCTTGGCTGGAATTGAACCTGGGACTCTTCAGTCCTCAGGCTGACACTCTATCCACTGAGCCAAACCAGCTAGGGCAATAAAAATATTTTTTTTTAAAAAAAATAATAATAGAAATACTTGGTAATATTAAAAGTTCAACTCACAAGTCAGACATGATAAATCTAAATTTGAATATACCCAATAACATAGCTTCAAAAAATATACAGCAAAGACCAAAAGAACTACAATAAGAAATACATAAACCTATGACCATGATGGTAAATTTAAAAATTCCTCTTTCAATAACTGATAGAATATACACAAACACACATAAACTCATTAAGAGTGATGTCAGCAAAATAGAAGAGTAGGTAGCTCCAAACTTTCATCTTTCCACAGAAACACTGAAAGAACAACCAGAAACTGTCAGAACTAACTTTATCAAAACTTCAGAAACCTTCAGTTAAAGGTTTGTAGCAATCAAGTAGAAGCAAAAGGCAAATAAAGAAAAAGGCAAAATTTTGAAAGTAGAAAAGCACTGTGGTATTTTACTGGCCCGTGGCCCATCCCCTCCCTGGCTTTACAGCTACCTTGAAGAAGGCAGCCTACATTCCCAGTGTGGTACCTGGTCCATGGTTCTGGAGGGAGCAGAGATCTTATTCACAAATTATTTTGTATGTCTGTCCTAATCTGTCTGGAGGCCACCTGAAGGGCTGACACAAGGTTTGCATATCTCTGCCTGACCAAATGTGGAACTCTGTCAGGGCAGAAAAATGGCATGTA